TCAACAAAGGATGTTGCTCGAGTATGAATGACAACTTTGGAATCATCATACTATCCGTTCCTGCTAAAGTGCTTATATGTACTACGGTGAATAAAATAGACATCATCTTGGCAACGTATTGTAGGCTGAACTGCAGTTCAAAAAGGAACCCATTAAAAATGCGTGCCTTTCGTCTGGGTTCTAGGCAACAGTGGTGACAACCACAGTCAAAGCATACAATCGCTATACTTAGGTTATGAATATCATATGATGTTTATGCGTAACATATGAGTAGTGCCAGCTGCTGAAATCTCGAGTGAGAAACGAGACGTGACTTTAGCGGAGAAAATTATGCGAGATGCATCTGGTGCTACTGAACTATCCGCAGCAGCAGCTCGTTTAAACTATATATAAATAGGGATAAAGTGTTTGCAGACTTGTGACAAAAGAATAATGAGTCGATAATGCTGGAAATATTCCGCAAGGCAGCTTCCTTGAACAGAGAAATCATTGAACAGCATTTCCGTGTCTCTGGCGTCTCCTTCAGTCAAATATACTCCGTGAATCATTCGAAAAGAGATTTGAACAGAGTCATTCCTCGTGAATAAAAACGCGCCGTTTCTATGCCTCTGATACTCTTGATATTCTTGACTGGCCACTATAAATCGTGCCAAGTAACATCGACAACGGTTTCCATGGCAGTGTGCCAGATTCCAGTTTAAGTATACCTTCGAGGAACAGAGATTATTGTAGAATCTCCTGTAGATCACTTTCATGCGACAGCGATCTCTCCTTCGACTTTGGGTGCTAGCAAAATTCGCTTTTTCGGCGGATGCCATTTTTCACGGCCTTTAGGATATTCTTTAATGCGGCTTCTTATAGCTTAGTTCTTCTGCACTCATCACAGTCATCCCCAGTAATCTTCCGCATTTCTTTCCACAACAGAGTGCACTAATCGTCCAGTTGCCTATCAACCTTCGTTTTGGCTCTTCTGGCCAACAGCTGCCTTGCTACACAGCAGGTGCGCTGTTTCCTAGTCGACGCTGCTGCCCAGCGGGATGATAGGATGATAGGTGTGCTGATATCAATCAAGTGTTGTTAGTCTCTGTCGATGCCTCTGTTGATGTCGATTGCGAGGTTCACCTGAGGAAGCTTGTTTTGCCAAATCTTCAAGATTGACTATTCGTCCACTGGCGGGTGATCTCTGAGCCATTCTAATGTGATACTTTTCAACGACCCCGACTGTGACTGCGAACCGGAGTAGTCCGTGGTCTGACCCAATGCAGACGATACACTGTCGGTTGACACATACAGTTGTTATTCCCCCTTTGTGTCCGTCTTCCCCTACTCGATTTGGTTAAGGGTTGTTCCAATACGGCTCATTCTTGCCCAAGGTTGCTTCTTAGCGTTTACAAACATGGTATCCATGATGTGGAGCCCCGTTCCTTTCTCTCCCCACTTCCAAACCGGTCAATAAAACGCCCTGACTCGGTTGTTTCCTCTTCTTCTATACGTTGAAATCTCTTATGACGGTTGTGTAGGCGGATGTCATTTGCATCAAATGCTCAGTTCTTCGAACTAGTCCACTTCTTCTTCGTCCGTTTGCTGCGTTCAGCCGCAAACCTTAATATCTTGTGATCTTCTTTTGTCGGCCGCATTATTAATACAGGGCCATATTACTATTATTACTGAAAAACATACATGATTTCTTTATGCAGAAGGTGATATAAACTTTTGGAAAGTCAAAAACGAGAAGAAAACGCATAAAATGTTTTTTAATTAGGGACATCTGACGTTTCGGACC